TATATTAATATTTAAGGAACTTTAAACAACATAATTTTAAAAAAAATTATTTTAGGGAAATTTAAACAACATATTCACGTCACTCATAAAACAAATTATATTTCAACATCATAGTTATAGTATTATTTAAGGAACTTGAAACAACATTGTTAAATATTTACGTCCACCCATAATTTTTTTAAAAGTCGAAAATAATTAATCCCGTTTCTTTTTTATTTGTTTGTTTGTTCAATTTTTTTGACAAAAATGATATCATGGATAAAAAAATTTAATATTAAATAAATTAATTAAATAATATAAAATAATATGCTTTAGACAGATATAGGATGCGGATAATCCTCTCATACCAAACAACGCGATTTCAAAATTGACTCAGATCCAGCAATCCTATCCAATATTTCATATAAATAAATATTAAATAAAATGTTTTAAACATAAATTAGATAAAAATTTTGAATCTGCCTTTTTTTAGTATAAATAGGCTTTACGTAAATTTTTGACTTTACCGATTATGGGATTTGTTTTGACTAAATTGATGTTATTATGGAATAAGACAAATAAATAAAGTCTTTTTTTATTTTATGAAAGATTTTACGTACTTTTTTTTTTACTTATGGGATGTTATGAGATTTTTTTTTCTTGAGCCGGTTTTTATTTTAGTAAAATTTTTAAAGGATAACTAATATAATTTTATTATCTAACCATCAACAAAATCATTTAATGATGTGATCATTATTTTTTAAATGATAAATAATATAATTTTATTAAAAAAATATTAGTTTTATATAATTAAATACAGGTTAAAAAAATATTACTCGACAAATATTAATTATAATGAATATTAGTAAAATCATTGCATAAATTATTTAAGGAAAAAATATTTAAGATCATATCTGGATAATAAATGTAAATATGCAAACATTTAATGCATATAGTAAAAAATTTCCACATAAGGTATGCATTAAATGTGTGTTGATTTTTCTTGCTATTATTTTTGGTAAATAGATTGACTTTTAATATAGATATAGATATAGATATAGATACATGTCATTATCATACTTGTCACAATAAAAATAATATTAATTAAAAATATTAAATATACACAAAGATTACTTTCATGGCAGCCTTTGCTTTTTTACTTCCAAAGATTGCCTCAAGTTTGCCCTTCCTTTTCTCTTCCTCGTTCCTCATCAAGTGCTCTGCAGTCTCTGCTGGAATTATCTCAACATCTCGAATCAACTCTTTGATTTCAAAAAACGTTGGATGATCGTTTATTCTCAAGTAAATGGAGGCCAAGACATCAAAGCCTTGTGGCATGCAGTAACCCATGTGAATGTGCATATCCATTCGGCCGGGCCGTATAAGGGCTGGATCGAGCTTTTCTTCGTGGTTGGTGGTGAAAATAATTATCCTTTCGTCTCTGCTGCTGGACCATAGCTCGTCTATAAAGTCCAGCATGCCCGATAAACAAATAGACAGATGAAAAATCTAGCAAGCATGTTTCTAATGAATTTATGTTAGCTTTAACTAAAATTATCATGAACTATATGGGATATCATTGCAAGAAAAGGGAAAGTAAACCCCTTTCACGCGGCCAGGGGCGAAGCCAGCCTCAAATTTCACCGGGGTCGGCAATATTTTTTAGCGGGGTCATTAACCTAGTAAACAGTGTTTGAACAGTATTTTATACTAAAAATTTTGAAATCTATAGGGGTCAGCTGACCCCTACATTAGCATGTAGCTTCGCCACTGCACGCGGCTCGTCGTCGTCTGAGTCTCCATCCCTATTGTGTGTGTGCTGCAATCAACATCCTCAATCACTATAATTGACCGGTTATTCGTGCTCAGCAACTGCCTCTTAAGCTCCGAGTTGTTGTACAAACTCGTGAGCTCCAAATCGTACACGTCAAATTTGAGGTAGTTGGCAACTGTCGCCACTAGGCTCGACTTTCCGGTGCAACAGGTAACCCCTCCTCCACACCTTCCCCACACTCCGGTAGTAATCTTTCCTCCTTATAAACCGGTCCAAGTCCTCCACCATCGCCTGCTTCAAATCCGGATCCATGGCCAGCCTCTCGAAAGGGCCGGGTGGTGAAGGTCAACACATCCCCAGCACCACCTCTCTTCCATTTACTAAATATTTTTATATACAACACATTTGGAATAACAATTTCAGACGACAAATAACTAAAAATAATAAATCAACTTGGTACAATTTTTTTTTTAAAAAAAAACTTGGTTTGAATACGAAAATCGTTAATTACCAGAAGAAAAATATACTAGTATCAAACTTAAAACCGAAAAAAAATAAAAAAATAAAATTATGTAGATCAGTGTCGCAACTGTCCCATGACATTTCCATTTCAATCTAAGGCGAATTTTCCCGTCTTGCTTTTGGTTTTGCAACTTCCCCGGACGAATGATCTGCCATTTTTGCCCATTGAGAGTTTCCACAAACACTTGCTCCAAATCGTGCTGCCAAAAGTAGGGCTCGATCCTGACTTTCTTGTTTGCAAGCAGGATGTTTAACTGAAACTCCGAGAGCCTGTAGTTCCCGTCCGACTCGCTCACGAGCCTACAACCATATACATGACTCGGTCGACAAACACGAAACAAGCCATTCGTAAACCCCGTGTACCAAGACGACGTGCGCCACTTACACGTATCAAATTTCAAGCTCCACAACACCACAGGCTGCTCGTCACCAAGAACAGCATTACAGGGCACGTCCTGAGGGCCGCCGTCCATTTGCAGAGACAGAGAAATTCGAGACCCACTTAGTGCCTTGAGTACTCGTCTCAGCTCAAGGAACCACCAATTGACGTCGAAATCGGGATCATCCTCACACGAAGAGAGATCTACGTGTGAGTACCACTCCTTTGAAGTAGTGGTCGTGAAAGAGAATGTGTCCAGAGCATGGGGAATACGGGCAATGAACGTAAAATTAAGAATGTTCGGGACACAAATCGTAGCTCCTTTAAGCAATATTTTTCTTGTCGAGATGGTCAACCACTTGACCGAATCACTTGCAAGATGGAATTCCTCGAAACCAGAGCAATTATTTAGGGACAAGATCTCAAGAGTCGGGCAACCGAACGATAACAAGTCAAATGACTCGCTCGACAGCATCACCCTATAGAGATGCAATCTCGTGAGGCGAGAGAACAAGAATGCACTTTGGCGGTGAGACCAAATCCATGGGCCATCGATGCAGACCGTCTCGAGATTCGGGGCATCGATTTCGATGCTACACCCTTCGATCCTCTCCAAATTATACAATTTCAAGTGCTTGAGCCCACGGGATGCTGCCTCGCCCACCAGTCTAATGTTTCTTAACCCCCGACAACTAAAAAGGTCCATCCGCCCGAGCAAAGGGCAGCCCAACATTATCTTCTCCAAAGCTCCGTCATTAATGAGGACCCATTTGAGGGTGAGCGTGTGTAAACGTTTAAACCGCACGCTCTCAACCGGGCTCACCTTGCATTGGTGTAGGTGTAGTTCTTCGAGGGACTCGGCTAAGAAGACTGCCGAGGGCAGTTTGTAATACGCCGGAGTATATGAAAGAAAGTTGAGTTTGAACACTTTTATGTTAAGGGCTAATATCGGGATCCATTTGTTGAGAAGGGAGACGACTGGTTCGGGCCTTGATAAGTCGAGTTGGAGTTTGTGTATGGAGAGGTTTTGATCACGGTATCCTTGTAGGGTTCGGTCGAGTAGGGAGACAAAGTTTTGTTGGGTGTTGTCGAACCATTCTTCGGAGAAGTCAAGGTTGGGGCGGGTTGATCCGAGGTGGCGCCATTGTTTGGAGAGTAGACATGTTCTGACAGCTTCTTTCTGGGAAAGGGAACAGAGTATGTGGTGAAGTATAGGTATTGGCAGTTGGGATATTCTATCGTCCATGGCTGTGCACAGAGTCACCTCTGTTTCTGCCTTTTGCTATTGCTTTTCCGTAGGAGATAATGCGATGTGAGACGATTTGTTGTCTGCAGAATGAATCAACCAATGCTTGCTCTTTCTCATTAGCCAGCATTTCCTATCAAAGTTATGGCAGTTCAGATCCAAAACCATTGTACAATAAATGGTTCTTTATCGTATGTGTTTTAAGAAGCTATTTTAGCCGACACTCGAGAAGTACAGAATCAATAAAACCAATTTTGTGCAGTAAAAAAATTCAGGATAAATTTCAAACATCAGATAAAGACAAATCTAAACTGAAAAATATGGATTTGAAAAGAGAAACACAAAAAAAGGGATCACGTAAATTATTTCACAGAACACCACAGAAAGTGCACCCAAATTCACTTCTCATCTAACATTAAAACACAAAAATTGGGGAAAACCGACGATTATACGAAGAAAACATATGACCTTATGATAGTCGCGAGCCTGCGGTAGCCAACACATTCCCAAAATCAGGAACCATGTTCGATTGTTCTTCTTGCTCAGACAATCAAAATAGACAAAGCACCCAACAAATGAGAGAGAGAGAGAGAGAGAGAGAGAGAGAGAGAGAGAGAGAGAGAGAGAGAGAGAGAGAATTCAAGCGGGCTGCTGACAGAAAGAGATCAGTGGCTCTGTAAATCTTGAGAGAAAAAGATTTTTAGTGTTGAAACTCGACAAAATTTTGAAATTATTCGGGGAAATTGCGCTATGAACAAGGATTTGGATGAGGTAATAATCGAAAGGGAAGAATATATGAGAGTTGTGGGCTGCGAAGGTTTGCTATGTTGGGCCTTGAATTATAAATTTTAACTTTTGTTTGCAGATATGCCACAAAAGTTATTATTCAGATTTTTTGAACAAATCACAAGATCATTAGAAACCGCTAGATATGCCACAAAAGTTATTATTCAGATTTTTTGAACAAATCACAAGATCATTAGAAACCGCTACCCGATAAAAAAGTGAATCAGATTTGAACTTTATTCTCTCTCCCACTACCAATCTGTCTTCTTCATTTAACTGCCATTAAACCCTATATCCGCTCAACCTCAACAACAATGGCAAACACCAAATTTGGAAGAAGCCCATCCAGCGGAGACGAGATTTCTCCACATCGGAGGTCGAGTTCCCGTCTAAGGAATATCAAATCACACAAGCACCCAACACTTGTACAAAAGAAACTGCAGTTCCACAAGAAAGGGCCGAGATCCGAAAAAAATATGAAGTCACCGGATTCCGATTTTGAGGATGAAATTGAAGCCGAAGTAAGTGACAGTGAAGAATGTTCCGTCGATGAAGAAGAAGACGAGAAAATAATTAAAGATAAATCCAACAAACGCAAAATCCATAGTCGGCCTCGACATAAACAGAGTGTCGATCCCAGAAATTCCGTTGAAGAATTGAACATAAGTGAAAGTGTGAAGGTAAATCCGGATATTTTTTTTCGATTTTCATTTTTTCTTCTTATTATGTCAGTAAGTATTTCATGAATGTGTGTCATTTTTTTACTCATTGTATGCACACCAATTTTTTGCCCCTCTGTATATTGATATCCAATTTGTTGATTGTGACCTAAAATAGTTTTTTTTGAATTTTTATCAATGTCGATTTTTTTTTAGGGATGTTTGTCTGTTGAAAGTAAAAAATCTTTGTCAATTAAAATTCCCTATTTTTTTAGGGATGTTTCTAAGGGATATTCAATTTGTTGATTGTGACCTAAAATAGCTTTTTTGAATTTTTATCAATTGACCATTTTTTTTTGGCCCCTCTGTCATTGTCTTATTTGAAATTAATTGAGTAATATTGTTTCATAAGAAGCAGATTATTTTTTCCCATTGTTGGAAAAAGTCCATCAATTCACTATTCTTATTATTTGCAGTTGCTACATAACATGTATATTGTAACCATATAGCATTAAATAAAATGTTTTTGTTATTAATTGCATCTTTATTTATGAACAAGAATGAGAATTGCTTATACCATATCCGAGGAATATAAATGCCAAAATTATGAGCAGTAACGATAATAGCAAGGATGGGTTGACTATCAATGAAATTAAAAGAACGCTTACCCCCCAGCAGCTCGAGATTTTTAGGCGTACGGCATTTGGTAAGTTTCCTGATCTTCCATTGTGCAAGGTACAAATCCAGCTGGTCAATCATATTCTTTTACGAGAGTTCTATTAGTCAAAGAGCAACGAGATTTGGTTTGACTTCGGAGGTAAATTACTTCGGTTTGGGATAGACGAGTTTGCCCTCATAACTGGTTTGAAGTGTATCGGGTCTACTCAAAAACTGAACATCCCAAAAGTCAAACAAGGCCTCTACGACAAGTATTTTGCTGAGGTTGGCCTAAGTCGTAACTGCGTAAGGTGGCAGTTTTTAAAAAAGATATGGAAATCCGACGATGAAGCGGTTAAATTTGCTAAGTTACATTTTCTAGCAAATTTCCTATTTGGATCGCAGGATTCGCATCGTGTGGAAAGATGCTACCTTGACGTCATTGATGGCTCAGATTTTGATGAATACCCTTGGGGAGTTGATGTTTTCGAGTTTACATTCCAATATCTGAAGAAGTCTATTCGAAACAGGCAACAGATGCATAATAACGTTAAGGCAGATGGTTCAAGTTACCTCTACCGATGTTATGGACTTATAATCGCCCTTCAGATATGGTTCTATGAAATTTGCAAAACCGCAGATGGCATAGTATGCAAATCACTCGAAGGTCAACCAATACCTAGATTGCTTAAGTGGGAAGTACAGGACAACTTCAACCGCCTTTTTATGGAGAGGGCGTTCTCAAATTTGGATTCAAGCAAGGTATGTTTATTACATCGCATTATATGTGATCAATATATAGATATGATATATACAAAGCTTGTTGCTGTCTTTTGTAGTAAATAATATTATCTAATTCCTTTTTATTCACAGTTTAAAAATGTTTCACCTACCCCGGCGGAGAAGCAAGCTTTGTTGTTGGAACCATTTTTCAGCAACAAAAATGAATTCACTAGGAATGAGCTCCAATTTGATGCTAAATCACAAAACTCCAATGACTCAGAAGTAATCAATCGTCTGAATACAATTTCAAGGGATCTTGATAACTTGAAGCAACTGTTCTTTGACTTTCCGAAGCGGGTTATTGCTGAACTTGAACTGTTTAAGGAGACATTCATTGTGAGTATTTGATAAATTTGAATCTTTATGTAATTTGAACTATTCTACTGAATCTATTACATGTAGATATTTTTATAATATATACAGATACACTCCCCCATGCATATATAAATATATATATATATATATATATATATATATATATATATATATTTATTTCATTCATGACACATCCCAGATTAGACATTGAATACATCGTGTGTATATGTTGAGTATATAATCTGATACATTTCTAAAAAATTTTAATGACCCACCTTCAGTTTTTTTGGGTACTTCTTTGGAAGTGTATATGTGCAGTAGATTTAGCATATATAAGCTTATTTTTGTTTACTGCATATATTTTTATTTGTTTTGTATATTTCTAATAGGTTGGTGCAAAAAAAGTTGGAGAAAACAACGAAGATAACTTGCAAACTTCGTCGGTGAGTTTTATGTCGTTAGGCCATTGAATTTTTAATTTTTTTGTAGATGTTGAGTATATAAATCACAATAAATTTTTTCTACTGTACCTTTTTTATGTTCAATTTATAAATTTTTCAAACTCAACTACATAGTTATCTATCTATATATTTATATTAAATTTCATAATTTTAATACTTTATAACTGTATATGCTTTTTTGGTCTATATATTTCTATTAGGGTCGCACAAATCAAGACAATGCTGATTCATTTGATAAGGCAGATCATAACATTGATGAGGACGTGCACAACTCACCGGTATGACTTTTCTATTTGAATTAACATTTCAGCTATAATATAAAACATACAATACAGCTACCATGTGTATTATTTTATATTTTTAACAATATCTTTATTTATGTTCCAATTATAGAAATCATTCTGCAAAGAATCGGAGGTTCGTTCACAACCAATAATCGAGGATTCAGTAATAAATGAATTCTTAGTATGTAGTATGTGTATGTTTGATATTTATGTATACAATATATTTACATAAATAGTTGACTTTACATACTTATTCCATTTGCCTTTTTTTTTTTTTTATTTTTTTTTTTAAAATAGGTCGGTATCGAGGCTATTGCAATGAAGGAGAAACAAGATTCTATCATGCAGCATGGATCAGACAAAACACCTAAGGTTTATTTTTATATAACATATATATAGTATATTCACATATATAGTTTCTATTTTTTTAACTATGCCAGTTGTCCATTTTTTCTTTCTAGGTTGGTATTGAGGCCAGTGCAGATGCAATGAAGCACAAACCAGAGTCTGTCACACATCATGGATCAGATAAGGTACATTCATTGTATTTTTTAACAGTTTATATCTTAAATCATCCAAATTTAATCGGCATATTTAACTTTAGTCTTTTGTAACTTGTCCACAATTTTTTTCTTTTCCAAAGGTTGTCACCAAAACTCGTCCAGTCGCATTCAGGACTAAATCAGAAGCCCTCAACAAGCGTGCACATGATAGAGTATTTTACTTTTTATCATTTTTCTCTATTGTCTAGTCAATATATATACTCTTTAAATTACATTAAACATATAAATTAGCTTAAAAAACACGTTAGAATATATTATCTATTTTTTTTTCAAAGATAATGATCGAGAATTCAGTAATATACAATTTCTTTTCTATGTAATATGTATATGTTTGATATATATATTCAACATATTTACATAAATATTTGACGCTCCTTACTTATTCCAATTGTGTTTTTTAATTCTTAATAGGTTGGTATTCAGGCAATTGAAATGAAGCAGAAACAAGATTGTATCAAGCAGCATGGATCAGACAAAACAACAGAGGTTTATATGTATATATTAAGTATATAGTATATGTAATATGTATATGTTTGATATATATATTCAACATATTTACATAATTATTTGACGCTTTTAATTATTCCAATTGTCTTTTATAATTCTTAATAGGTTGGTATTGAGGCAATTACGATGCAGCAAAAACAAGATTCTATCAAACAACATGGATCAGACAAAACAGACGAGGTTTATATGTATATATTAAGTATATATTATATTCAAATATATCGTTGCTATTTTGTAACTATTCCATTTGTTTTTAATTTTTATAGGCCAATATTGAGTCTATTGCTGATGCAATTAAGGAAAAACCAGAATCTATCACACAACATGGAATAGATAAAGTACATTCATTGTATTTTTACAATTTATATTTTAAATCATCCAAATGTAATCGACATATTTTTTTTTAACTTGTCCACATTTACATTTTTTTGTCCTAGGTTGTCACCGAAACTCGTCCAATCGCATTGAGGACTAAATCAGAAGCACTCAACAAGCGTACACAAGATAGAGTATTTCACTTTTCTCTATTGTCTCGTCAATTTATATACTCTCTAAAATACAATACAAATATAAATTAGCTTAACAAACAATATCCAAATTATACTTTATTTTTATCTTAAATAGCCAGTAAATGATCCCGTTGCAAAAGTCGTTGTGAGCACAGTAGATGATGATGCATTTCCAGAGATCACTACGCAATTTCTGGCTGAGGTGGATAGAACTGCACAAGAAAAAATAAATAGTGCAATAAAAGAAAGAGATGAGGTATCAGATCAATATTGGGACTACAAACTATATTTGACCTATATATATTCCCTTATTCAGTTCATCCCTACATATTTATGTCCATCTAAATTTTCTCTGGTTATACAGAAAAATAAGACCAGCAAGTGGAGTTCAATAAACACAGCAGCAGTCATAGATGTCGGTCACGCCTTGTATGAATCGTCTCAACCGTCTTTCAGTTTAGGAATCCCAGATTTACCACCTCCACCACAAGTTAGTTTCTTTAACCTTGTCGTGCGCCAATCTGTAAATGTTTTTTCATATTTGTTATTTAACATTTTTATTTATATTAACAAATTCAAATCAATTGTTTTTTTCTCTTCAAGACAATTCATACCGAGCATGACTTGGATAAAAGAAATGTAACACGTTCGAAGCGAAGGAACGTTGTCGAACCCACCAGCAGTGCGATGGTTGTCTTTCGACCACCGGGTAACAAATCTTTTGGAAATTCGTTAAAACGCAACAGGAGAGAGCGGAAAAAAACAACACTTCAAAGGTCATGCCCATTGGATGTTGATTTTTGACATGATGCGTATACAAATCTCGACGTTGAGGCTTTCAAAGATTGGATTGCTAAGGGAACGCTGCAGCGTCCTCGAAAAGTGGGAGACGGGTAATTTAATAGATACAAATTCATCACACCTTTCTTTTGTTTATTTGTTGTATGAATATCAAACAACAACTAATTAGCTTATTTGTAGATATGATTAATTTTTTTTTTTCTTTTTTTTTTTGTTGTCTTATACAAGTACAATTACTATGATTCTAGGACCAGATTCTTAAAACCTCCAATTGATTTCAATGTTGCTGAAGTTACGGACAAGAACTGGTTGTACTACATTTATGAGACCAATATGTTTCTCGATAGTACTGTAAGTATAATTAAATCCTTGTATATATTTTAACGTTACATACTTTAATATACCGAAATGAATTATTCCTTTTTGTTTTTATTTTTTTCTTTTTAATTTTAGTTGTTCTGTTTCTTATTTGTTATATATCGCAGCACATGGATGTGTTGTTTTACTATTTGCGCAAGATCGGGATGTACGGGACAAATGCTCCACTGAGATTCACAACGACTGATACCCTGTTTGACCAGCACATTAGGGCACTGTATAGTACCTTTCTATAACAATCGCGTAATCCGGGTGTATGCTCTGTTCAGGACATGATTACAGACTACATTTTGGGTTATAAAATTATATGTGGATTGTCATGGTTTGAAGTTGATCATGTTTTGTTTCCAATGCATGTTGAACTTAATGGCATTGGTCACTGGATTCTGGGAAGGTTCACTTTCGCCGACATGAGGTTTTGGGTTTATAATTCATATCAATCTGTAGATTTTGACGCGGTTGTTCTTGAGAGTGCTCAGGCTTATTCTGTGATTCTGCCCATTTTCCTTCGTTTGGTGCACTTCTTTGACAAGAGGACGGATGCAAACACCGATTCGGGTGGACGAATCAAAACAGATGTGAACTCTCCTCTTGAGGTTACGATTGCTTCTAACATCCCAAAGCAAATCAGCAGGTATTTTTTCATATGTCATTATGATATTTCATTTTTTATATACATAACAGTTTTTCTATATATATATAACATGTATTAAATAATTTATAATAACACTCACATAGATTATTAGTATTTTTTCTGTATATATTTCTGTACCTGTGGCAAGTCCATTTATTTTTTTTTTTTGTTATTTCGATTTTTTTTTC